CCGAATCTTTGTTTAATTTGGCAAGGCCACAAGGCTCCCGTACTATCATATCCTGAAAACTATAAACGCCGTAAGGACGCGTTATCATTATGTCGTGACGACAGATAGTCGTGTAGTTTAAAGTGTCGCGACTTGTATATTTAAATGAAGTTGTTCACTTATAGTACAACACGATTGACTGTCGTTCACTACTTTTTTGATGTTACGGCGACAGACTGTCGTGACAACGGGAAGAGCTAGAACGACAGTCGTCCGACGATAAATACAACGTCACGATAACAATATGACGACAGATATTCGCAACTTCAAACGATTCTGTCGTGGAAATGACAAGGCGGCTGGCGTGAACCGATAAACAATATCAACGTATTAATTAAATTTTTATTGAATTGATATTCAATTATTTTTTGTGAAATTACTCCACTAGTTTGTTATAATAGTTAATACAAAGATCGAACACTCAGAAAAAATCCGTGGCTTAGTTGGTATAGCGTCTGGCACGGTATGCAAGAAGACGTCGGTTCGAATCCGACCGGATCGAAGGAATTTTTTCTGAGTGTTCAATCTTTGTATTAACAATTATAATATCAACGTAATTATATCAACGATAAAATAAACTTCCACGACACAATCACGGCAAATAGTCGTGATATGGGAACATAGTGGACACGACAGCCATCCAACGATAAATAAAACGTTACGTCGTAATGTGAACGCTCCCTCAGGGTCGTATTCTAGAACTCTACTCAATGCTCAAGTCAGGATTTGAGTATGGTTTAAAGCACTCGAAATCATACTCAAGTCCCTGCCATTAGGGTCGTATTTCCAGTGCTTGTGTTGCCAGTGCAATCCTGACTTGAACATTGAGTAGAGTTCTAGAATACGACCCTTAGTGTCCATGAATGGGTTAAGCTTTCGCAACATGGCGACGGCAGCCCAAATGTAACTTATCAGTTTTTACTTAAAAATAGAAAAAACTAAATAAAATCACCAAATTTTCGGTGCACAATTCAATGTCTAAAATAATTAATATTTAATATTGACTCCGTGTTATTCCACGAAATACAACGCGCCGCGTGGCGTATGTACGGATGCGTGCGTGCGTGTGTGAGTGGATGTGTGCTTCAGCACATATGATTTTTTTTATGATATGATAGAGTGACGGAACGAACAAGTCGTGTGTCTAGTGGTTAACAACACGCCTGTCCATTCCAGTTGCAGTGCCGGACTCAGAACTTTAAATTGTAAAAATTTGAGGGGCACTGCCGTCGCGCCCGTCACCCTGAGACATAAGTTGACAAGTCACCAGCACCCTTTCCATTCAAAATCGGTACGCATTAAAGCTTACACATTACTGCTTAGCGGCAAAAAAAGTTTAGTTAAAAATATCTGGGCGAAACCTTTCACAGGGAGCTCTACTGCTACTTGGCATAATTTTGTGAAATCATCGTTTGTTCAAGACGTCAAACATACACACATGAAACAAAACTTACGTAACTCAAAAATTATGGTATTGAAAAAACACGATTCGAAAATTTTAAACACACACTCAACATAGCCCCGCACTAGGGAAACCCTGTCGCGGGTGCCATGGACACACATAGACAACCACAAATTACACCCAAACTCACGAGAGAAACAAATGTAGGTCATACAAATATTTCTCCCGGCCCGGGAATCGAACCTGGGACCTCGGCGTGGCAGTCATGGTAACCGTTCGGCCACAGAGGCAGTAACAAAATTGATTGAATCTTATTGCGAACAATGTGATTATTATTATTAATACAAAGATCGAATACTCAGAAAAAATTCCTTCGATCCGGTCGGATTCGAACCGACGTCTTCTTGCATACCGTGCCAGACGCTATACGAACTATCGGATCGAAGGAATTTTTTCTGAGTGTTCGATCTTTGTATTAATAATTATAACAAACTAGTGGAGTAATTTCACAAAAAATAATTGAATATCAATTCAATAAAAAATTAATTAATGTGATTATTTATATTTATACATAATATTTTCTTTAGAATAAGAATTTATTAGTTCCATTCAGTAATTTTTTGAACTTTCAATTGTGATTTCTCAATTCCATAATTTTTAAATTACGACAATATTTTATCCATATACGATATTGCTCTCTGATTTCTGAAAATACGCAACGGAAACTGTTGTATCTCCATACGTTTTGTTTTACAAAGAAAATAAGTAGTTATTTAATGCAAGTTTAGTATGGAAAGTTTATTATCAAAAGACGACAATTGTAGAACAATAATAATCCATTTTGAACAGCACAATTAATTATGCTAAATTTACGAACATTCTGTATGTGTTCCGTCATATTGTTTTGTGGCAAACAGTATAGCCATTATACACGGTGACAGGTTGAACGAGTTAAATATTTAAAGAAGCAAATGAGTAGCTATATAGCAAATGATACCCATAACCAGAAATAGAGACGAAATGTCATTTAATTTGTTTGAAAACTATTCTGCCAAATCATTACTGTGACAATTGCGCTCCGATTGGCTAGCCCGAGTTCGAAACAATTGACGGGTGTCGGTCGTCAATTGTTTCACTTCAAATCGACAAGTTTAACTTGAGCTTTGCTATAAAATTACATATTTAATTACCGATGAAATGTGATTCCGTTTTGTAATTAGATGTTTTGCTGTTTTTCTCCACACCACCGAATGGAACAGCACCCCATTGGTAGAGATATTATCTTTATTACAATAAATACAGAATATTTTTAGAATATATGGAGACGTACACACAGGTCAATTGTTGGCGCTGTACTATTTCAGCTTTCTAATTTGTGATTTCAGCGCAAACGAGAGTTGATATTTAAAAGGTATATAAGACCCATTTGCCTCATGAGTTGCCAGGGATGGATGGCTCTTACGTCGTCTCTATTTGTGGGGTTATATAGTCGACGTTGATACCGAATGTGTAAAAAAACAGTGCCTTATTTTTAAATATTTTTCTCCAAGGAAAATACTGCCTGTAACATTTTATAATACTCTACGCGAGACACCGCGTCAATAGAATGTAGCGAGGGCCCCGCAAGATCAAATAAACATTATAATATATAAAAATAAAATTACATTCATAATTTTAATAATTTGAAGACTTTTTATTTATTTAATTCATGATTTAATAACGTACACACTCAACATAGCCCCGCACTAGGGAAACCCTGTGTCGCGGGTGCCAAGGACACACACATAGACATCCACAAATTACACCCAACTCACGAGAGAAATAAATGTAGGCCATACAAATATATCACTCGGCCCGGGAATCGAACCTGGGACCTCTGCTTGGCAGTCCGGCATGGTAACCGTTCGGACGTGGAGGCAGTTAAAGTTGGTATAGAAATTGTTTTCTAATGCAAATAATTTTAAAAAAACGAGCTTTAGGATAAACATTTCTATCTCAAATTTATATTTTAAAAAAAGGCAGTAAAATTGCACTGTACGCAGGGTTCGAAATGATAATTATAACAATAATTATCTTAATAAATATACTTTGATAATTTTTTAACGATGTTTTACTACCGTAAGATTTTATTATTTTTTGTGAAATCACTCCACTAGTTTGTTATAATTAATATAACAAAGATCGAATAACTAAGAAAAATTCATTCGATCTGGGTGGATTCGAACCAGTACCTTCAGGCAATTCTCGCCAGATGCTCTGCCAATGAAGCCACGGAATGGACCAGCAGACCTCACGAATTTTTCTACGCATTTGTTGCAGATCTTTGTTTATGTTTTTTGACGACTTTTTTGCCTCCGTCTGTGAGAAATTTATTCTTTCATAAATTCACAGGTTCGTTCCGATATCTTGATACTCGTCACATTAATTGGAACAACAAAATGGTATCCCTAGCAGTGCCCTGTTATGTGTTTATATCACAGTCATATCCAAACCCATTATCCTGAACAAAATTTCAAATTAAATGTTAAATTTTACGGTCTTGCTTTTATTTAAGATGCTATGTTACTGGTAACCTATCACAAACTCGAATTTTGTTTTTCCGAAATTAGGTTTGTTCTAATTTTCATTATACCGAAAACCGAATTATAACGAAACCGTTGTTCTTTCAAGATATGTTGGATGTTTATCGCAAAAAAACGATTAGGTTCGGTTAGGTTAGGTTAAGTTAGGTTTAAAAGAAAAAAAAACATTTTCCTCTCAAAATTACTTTCGAGGTTATGAAAATTCGAGCAAACGTCATTTCTGGAAAATGTCATTTCGAACTACTGATAGGATAACCTACGTTACTTAGAAGAAAACAATCCATAAGATTGAGGCTTTCGATCAGTATAGTAAAGTAAACAGGTGCTTTTTTTTCGCATTTGGCGGGTTGTATTCCCAATTCAGATAGGCCATTATTAAAAATCTTTGGATGCAGTTTGAATTGCTTTTAAAATCAAAATGAATCTTCTTTCAGTAAAATTTTCCATCTACGGTATTTAAGGTACTTTCCCTATATGCAGAGAGTGTATAAAAACATTATGTTCGAGTCTATTAAATTGAAAAGCTCCGCGCGCTTTCGCGGCAATAGTTCAAAAACTTTCTAGAGTTCACTGAGGGCATGTCATTTTGGTATCTATTAGTGATCGGAATTGAGGGATTTGATCTACCTAAAGTATGAACGTTTTCTTAGTATGGATATACCCATTTCGTCATGAATGCGTATAAAAGTTATGAAGAACCGTTTGTCATGATGCCAACGGCTACATTTTATCATCGCACCGCTCGGCCCCGGCAGGGAGTCCAACCTCACAATCTGAAACTGAGTCGATCTCGTACTGTTCGGTTTCAGATGGGCTTCCTCCCACGTTAAATTAAGTTGTGGAATGAATTCCCTGCCTGGATTTTCCCGTATAGTGTCCTTCAAAAGGAGGAGGCAACGCGCTCGATACGCCTCGATACGCCTCGATACGCCGCTTTACATCAGGCGGACCGTACGCTTAAAAAAATTAATACCTTCATTTCTGGGCCCAATTATGTATCGAGATACAACTTATGTCAAAAAGTTTCTAAATTTATATAGGAAAAAAGTATCTATTAACTGAAATCTTTTTGATTTTAATAGACATGCTGAAAAATGTAACTTTACAATTGTATGAATAAATGATACTGCATTCGACGAGACGTATATTGTCGTGATTTGACAGCTTTTATTGTATCGGAAAAAATGTCCGTTAAGAATAACCCAAAGTCAGTGTTGAATATATCAAAATCACAAATAATACTCCAGTACTAAGTACCAAATCTAAGTTACAAAAAAACTTTTTTTAGTCAATTTTTCTAACTAATGTAAATAATTAGTAAATTATAACAATACTAGTACACAATCGTAATTTTTAAAAAAAGGTAAATAAGCTATCGAGAAAGATTACGTATCGCTCGGTGAAGCGGGTGGCGGGGTCACTGTCCTCCGCGGTGAATACACTTGGGAACAATTTTACAAAACTTTACTAGATACAATTAGCCAGAATATTGAACAGAACATTTTTAGATGATTTAGCATTATCCCTACTATTAATTTCTTAAATATGACGAGAATGCAAATCAACACACTATATAATCAGTTTCGAGAAGTCCCGGGATTTGTAGAAGGGAATGTCCACGTTATTCTTTAGTTTAGCTAAGTTAACACCCTAAATTCCGATCACTGGTAATCATACATAACACTTTATATTAAAATGACCCTTCTGTACCTACAAATAATGCTTAACTAGAATCTTATGGAAAACAGTTTAACGTATGCACGCTTACTTAACTTATGTCCCTGGGTGACGGGCACAGTGGCAGTACCCCTAAGAGTGGTTACACACTGGGATTTTCAGCACCAACAAAAGAACGCGCGTATTGGATCGCTACACTTGGGATTTATGCGCGTATTGCATCGATGTAATCGCGTGTTTGTATCGCTGAAGTCGCGCGCTTGCAACGCGTCTCCATCTTTGCGATTAAAAGCTCTGAGTGGCAACTGCCATAGATAAGCGTGTCGCTTACAATCACGCGCAAGACAAGTTCGTTCTATCTAAAACTACATTTACCGGAGTTGCGCTGCAATGTTTTCCACAAGAATCTGTCGCATTCTATACTATATCACGCCTTATTCTCAATTAATTCTTTTCTTCTCTCCGCCTTTCTTCTTCTGCTGTAAATAAACGGCACAAAGCACCAAAGAGAGGCGCCAAAAATCAAAATAATCCCAAACGTTACGAATAACGATTTATGTGTTTCCTCTTTATCGTGCCAAATCCCGCACACTGGTGGCCCAATTAACTGTAAAATACCGTTCACGAATAAGCTGATACCATATGATGACATTAATCTTTCAGTACCTAACATTTCCGTCATTACTAGCGCTGTGACACCTACGTTAATACCAGACGCAATACCGAATACGGAACAAAAAGCCGATAAAGCCCAATAATTTTCTACTGACGGTAGCACTGCTAAACTGATGCCAGATAGTAGAAGACCGGTTATAAAGAAATAACGTTTAGGTGTTGATACCACGTCGGATAGTGCTGAACCACCGATTCGGCCGACTAAATCGAAAGCCGAAATTATTGACAGTAAATATGCGCCTAATGATTTATCAAAGCCACATTCATTGGCGTAAGCAGGCACCATGATAATAAAGTTGGTGTAAGAAATAGCACAAGTGCAATTAGATATTAAAATAACTAGATATATAGGATCTTTTAATAACTCTATATCGAAATATTTGGATCTTTCTTTTTTCCCTAATTCGTCCCTATGTTTTTTCTTGCATCCGCAGCAGTATGTTATAGGGGCTAAGCTGTCTGTGACCGACTTAAGACTGAACTGAGAAGCAAATTCGCTTGGTTTCTCGAATGCCGACAACGTCGAACCGTGGAAGGGTGTCGACATATACTGGAAACTGGACGTTGAAGGACTTCGCTTCGGCGTTTTCGGCACAGCCAATTTCTTGCTGAACACCTCTTGACTGCCAACCCTGCTAGGCTTACCTTCGGGCACTGACTCTAAGAACGAAGGGTTACTTTCAAGATGATTGCTCGCTCTACTAGAGATGTGTTGCAAACCATGTCTCGAAGTGGCTGGTGTAGAAATTTTTCTGAATCTTTCGCTTTCTTGGTTTCGGACTTGGACAGCACTAGCGGATCTCACGAAACCGTCAGGTTTTGAGGGGAATAGTTTTTCGTCTTCCATGTCTTTGAGCATTGGGGGCGACCCGTTGATCTGGGCGTCTCCAGTCTCTTCTGGAGTGAGGAGTAGTAATTTTGGATGAAGAGGATCTTCGCACGGGTCTTCGGAAAAGGTCTCCAACTGGAAGGAATATTCATTTATTTATTGTAAATATATTTACACGGTAGTAAAGCTTAGGAACTAATGCAGCATGTAAGTATAGTACAATAAGACAAGGTATGATGTACGGACCAGGGTTTTTGCTGATGCAGATTTTTGACACATCAGCAGATGCTGATGTGTAAAAAATCGGATACTGAGTTCATGTAATAAAAAAAATGTAAAAAATGTGATGTACATTTTTCAAATCATCTCACTGAATACCTCCATGGAAAAGCGTAATAAATAATAATAATAAAATATAATTATTTCAACACTGGGTGACGAAAATACTTCTTAAATACTAAAAATTTTCATAGATGGCGCTACGACTAAAAAGTCGTTGAAAACCAAATACAAAGATCCAACAACAAGCACAAGGAAAAATTCGTGAGGTCCGCTGGTTCGTTCCGTGGCTTAGTTGGCATAGCGTCTGACGCGGTTGCTAGAAGACCTCGGTTCGAATCCGGCCGGAATGAAAGAATTTTTTCTAAGTGCATTAATAATTATAATAAATTAGTGGAGTAATTTCACAAAACAATTCTTGAATATCAATTTAATACAAATTTCTTTCAATCGAATTTCAATGATTTTGTAATATTTATTAATAGTAGAACCAATCCGCATGAAAACAATCAATCTTAGGCCTAATCGTTCGAGAATATTATCAAAATAATATTTTAAAAACAACATCTGAACTGCTTTTTCGGCTTACAGTCTGTTTCTAGAAGGTTTGTAAATTATTCCACCTTGCCTTTCAGGTCATGTCACGACTCGAATATCCGCAATGAATATAAGCACCGATGAATGCGGACATTTTTTATGTAAATTATCCGCGGATGTTGATGACGAATATTCGCAACACCAGGGCTGTTGCGAAGTTACCTATCAGTAGTCCGAAATGACATGTTCCAGAACGTTTGCTCGAATTTTCATAACCTCGAAAGTAATTTTGAGAAGAAAATGTTTTTTTCTTTTAAACCTAACTTAACCTAACCGAACCTAATAGTAGTGTATTTGCGATAAAGATCCAACATATCCTGAAAGAACAACTGTTTCGTTGTAATTATACAGGGTGTCCCACGGCTATGCCACATGGAGGGAAAGTACCTTAAATACCATTGATAGAACATTTTACTGAAAGAAGACTTCATTTTGATTTTAAAAACAATTCGAACTGCATTCAAAGATTTTTAAATAATCGCTTCTCTGAACCGGGAATCGAACCCGCAAAATGTGAAAAAAAACCACCTGTAATTTTATTATACTGATCGAAAGACTCAATCATAAGGATTGTTTTCTTCTAAATAACATAACATCTTAAATAAAAGGAAGACTATGAAATTTCACTTTAATTTGAAATTTTGTTCAGGAAAATGGAAAACGCAGATTTGCACGTTGTACTAAACAGGTAAAAATTACACTATTTAAAGCTTACTGTCAAGTGCTTACACACATGCAGTCTGAGGGTCGCGTATTCGAGGCGGACATTCAGCGACCTGCGTGTTCAATATAATAACGCATTCAGGGTGCTGATGGGGCTACCGTGGAGGTGTAGTGCTTCGGGGATGTTTGCCGAGTCTCAGATAGATGGTTTCATGGCCATCGTGAGGAAAAGGTGTGCATCTGCTCTAAGCCGCGCTCTAACGCGGGAACTCCAACAGCATCTTGTGTGTGTTCACAGATCGGTGGGACTCGCCTCTTCTGCGGAGCTTCACGCCGTCATTTAGTTGTGTTGTCCTTTTAAATTATATAAAATTAATTAATACTAACACTAGATCTTGAACCCGTGGTAGCCTAATGGCTTGACCTACTGCCTCTCAAGCAGAGGGTCGTGGGTTCGAATCCGGACTCGCACCTCTGAGTTTCTCGGAATTTATGTGCGAAATTTAATTTGAAATTTATCATGAGCTTTTCGGTGAAGGAAAACATCGTGATGAAAAAAACGTGTGAAGTGGCCAACCCACTTTGGGCCAGCGTGGCGGACTATGGCCTAAACCCTCGTCTGAAAGGAGACCCGTGCCCAGCAGTGGGACGGATAAATGGGTTGACGATGATGATGAACACTAGGTCTTAAGTTATTCTGTTCATAACACTATATGGATTTTTATCTGAAATAAATATATTTCAATTGAATTGAATAATTCGGTTTTCGGTGTAATGAAAATTCGGACAAACGTTATTTCGGAAAAAAAATCGAGTTTGTGATAGTTTACCCTGTTGCGAATATGTTGTTGCGTCTAGTCGCGTTCTCCGTGCGAAACAATTACTGTCAAATGTGTCATACTCGATCAAATTAAAAACATTGCCAAATATGAAGTTTCATTCGCATCTTGCGTGTTTTAATTTAGTCGAGTACGTATTACTTATTTCACAGTAATTGACTCAGACGGCTAGACCGAGAGTAAAGGGCCAGATATGGACGCACAATTTCGCATAATCTCGCGGTGCACTCGCGTTGCATAGCGATTGTCTCATGCGCCATCAACAACATCAAATTTAATAATAGACGTGTTTATTGCAGTGTTTGTGGTAGTCTGAACAAGAGTGCCTCAAATTCAGCATTTCATTTCTATTCATCAAGATACCAATTTTAATTTTTCTTATAATCTGTTTCATCGACTAACTCTGTAAACGCTGTTGGATAACGTTATCGGACTGCTAATACAACAGTGCATTAACTCAAAAAGTGAATTTATTCAGAATAGCCGAAAACTAATTACTCAGTTCCCGTGAAGATTTGCCAATTAGAAGTACATTTTAATACAAAAGCAATAAATAATTTCATATTTTTGAGTAAGGACTGTTTTATCCAGAACTAGCTGACAAAACATTTGTTTCATTCTGGGTTAAGTAGATATATTTCATGGTTTTTTACAATATTCTAATGACAATTTTATTGACGTGTAGAGAAACAAATTTTACGTTCAGAAATGGTACAATCTTGAATTTCACGTATTTTGAGTTACAACACTATTGTAAGAGCAGTGCGATATCGTATCCGAATCCGCATCGAAAGTTTATCGACATAAATGAATTATCTGAATAGCTCGGAAAGCGCTTTTCGATTCGAAAACGATATCCAATCGAACCATTCGGTTAAAATACCGAAGAGTTCTGAATCGGGGTCCAGAACTCTAGGGCAATTCGTGCCAGATGCTCTGCCACTTAAGCCACGGAATAAACCAGCACACCTTATGCACTTTTCTACACGCTTCTTGCATATCTTTGTTTTTGGTTTTTAACGACTTTTTTGCCGTAACGCCATCTGCGACAAATTTTTTTTTTTTACCTTTACAGCTACCATCGCTGACGAGAGTAGGTACTATAGAGACTATTACAGGGTTTTCCAATATAGACATAACAATTTTGTTTTTCTATAACACACCGAATAATTAAAATCAAATTTATTCCATGTGCAGTAACACAAGTTACATTTAAGAATGGAATTCGATCTCGTACATATTTATTTATTATTTATTTATTTCACATTTCGACGCCTTACCTTTTCAAACTCATATCTTATAAAGAGTGACTATTCAGGAGACAGCAAAACTTTCTATTTATTTTAAATTTCTTATCAAAGGTGTTAGTTTGGATGCGTTACTTTAGGAATAGGGAAAAGCCAGTGTGTGAATACAGAAACAACGAAAATAAAAAAATAATCATAATACATTTCACAGGACTGATCCTACAGGCATCATTTGTTCAAATACTTTCCTACATTCACTCATCAGACATCCAATAGTGCTTTCAAATAAATCAGAATGGGGTGTCTTCTCGAGAACGGAGTTAAGAAGTGTGATCGCGCGCAGCACCAGTGCTTCGGAGTGACATAATTGACAACCGAGAGCACGTTTGTAGTTGTCGTAGATCAGTAGATCATACTTGTGAGTCTGTTTGACCGGCAGTGAGAAAAAAATCACCCTACTACACCCTTATTTCCTTCCCCCAACTATGTGAAGTCTCACTCATGGCTCATGTA